TTCCCACCAGCCTCCTCAAAGGCCAGGAAGGTATTTTTTCCTCCATCACACTGAGAGAACGTCCATAGTAATTTGTCTGTTGAGCAGGTAGTGCTGTGAGAATCAGGGAGGTCACGTGGCTTCCTCAAGGTCACGGGGTCAGGCCACAATTAGATGCATGTTCCGATTGCCTCCTAGGTAATGACACCTGGAGGTCTGCTGGGGCTGAGGCAGAGATTGCCTTAGGTGTTCTCTCCAGAGACGAGGAGGCTGCTGTTCCATGGCCAGTGGGCAGTAAGGTCCCCCACCCTGGAGCCCAGCTCTCACTTCCAGCTGATTACAGGCTGTGGCAGGGTCCATAACCTCCCCAATTAGTCAGGGGCCAGGCCCAAGGCCTCTCTGATAACCTGAGCTCCAGTGGCAGCCGCCATGGGGCCAGCTTATCTGGCCTCTCTTATCCTCCCCCTCCCCCCACATACTCCAAGAGTTGCCCTGGCTGTGAGCAGATGAATAACCAGATTGTCCTGCAAGCTCAGCCCGCAAGTCCAGCCCTACACCCACCACTTTCCCTGACTGGAGGAGGCCACAGCTGTTTTGCACCCCGTGGAGGGAAAGGGCTGAGCCAGGGAGGACTCCTGACTCCAAGTTCCCTGCAGGGTTGGAGAGCGCTCCTGGCTCTCCATCTTGGCCCCATCCATAGGGTGGGTTCTCAGGGGCTCACCCTTCCTAGAGCTCTGGACTCCCCCCTCTCTCCCTCCCTCCCCAGGGCCCAGGGATAGAATACACAGGTAGCCTCATGGCAGCCCTCCCCCCACACCCTTTTAACTGAAACACTGCTCTGGCTCTGGGTGGAGGCTGTGCCCAACACATCCATGTCTCAAAATGGGGAAAAGCTGCTGCTCCTTCGGCAGCCCCCGCTGGCTGTGCCCAGGCCTCCTGACCTGCCTGTAGGCTTCCCTCTGCCATGTGACTTCTCACTCTGCAGGTTCCTGGGCAAAAGGGATGGGCTCCAGCCACCCTATGTAGGGCCAGGTACTCAGCTTCCAGAACCTAGTGTGATTCAGGTCCCCCTTCTCCTAACATGCCCAACTGATCTCTTCTTGGGTGCTAGGGTTGGAGAGGGTGCCTGTGAAGGGGGCAGGGGCTCCAGGAGTTGGATGGGAAGGCCTGATTGTGGCTGTTACGTTAAACTTCACCCCAAACCACCCCTGCTCATAGGTTTCCTTCGATCCTCCCAGGCCTCTCTGGGGTCTAGAGAAGTGGGGACTAGGGCTAGTATTATCCTTTCTGCTCAGCACCCCTTTTTGCTCCCCCTGCTCCTACCACAGACAGGGAGTGTCAGGCCTGTGATGGCCCCAGAACTCACTGGCTCTGCTAACAGGAAGGAAGGTTGGAGAATGGATTTAAGTCAGATCCCACCCACATTCTAAGGCACACATTCTCCTCCCTATTCCCTTGATGCACATGTCAGGCCAGGGGTGTTGGGAGCAGGGACACAGGGTCAGGCCCGGACTCTGCTGGGCGCTCGGCAAGGACCCTGCCCCCAGCAGCTCGGGTGGACACCAGTTGCAGCATGATTTATTGGAAAGACGTGCACTTTTGACAGGGTCTCAGGAACACCGTTTCCTTCACCAAACAGTTCAGGACCAGTGTAAAAGGGCTTATAGACAAGAAAGACAAATCCTTCCCATGAGCCAAAGGGAAGAGGAGGGGGGCTTCTCCTTCCTTTCTCCTTCCCTAATACTCTGGGCCTCCATTCACCCCATTCCAGAGGGAAGTTGACCAAGGGAAGCTGGGCAGTGTGAGCCACAGCCAGGAGCGGGCTGGGGCTGGCGGTCAGGGTCGAAATGCCTGGCCAGGTCATCCATCCTCCCCCTCCCCCCCCACCAGGTTAGGAAATACAAAAGCGGATCCAATGCCGGACATCATGTGCAAACAGGAGGGGGCGGCGCTTCTGCAGTCTCTTTCGGCCACAGCCCTGCTGACGGGGTCAGAGGGCACCGAGGTGGTTTGGACAGGGGTCTCTTCTCCATCGGCCTCGGGTGGGGTGGGGAGGGGGCTGTCGTCACTAAGCTTGGGGAAGGTGGTTGGTGAAAGAGGAGCAGAGACTGAGGGGGAGAGTCCGAGGGGGGCTTCTCCTTCCTCCAGCAGGTGAGCGGGCCGGCCAGTCGGAAGCAGGTAGCGGGTACCTAGGAGAAGCTGGTAGGGAAGAGGCTGAGGGGCTGGCTCTCGTTGGTGGGCAGCGGAGATCGGTAGCCGTCAAAGTTTCTTGGGATGCTGCCGCTGGTAGAACCTGAGCTGTTACTCAGAGTCTCGATGCTTCCCTCTCGCTGAAGTTCTGCAAGACAAGGAGAGGGCCAGGCCCGGTCAGTGCGGTCTGGGGATGGGGTCGGGCTCACTCGGGGCTGGGCTGCTTGTCTGGAGGCGCTCAGCTGGGTCCATTTCCATCCTCTTGCAGGGGATCCCCGCATGCTCCCCAGATGGACAGGTGGCAGCTCGGGTCACAGGGAGGCTCCGCGGAGGAGGGAGGCTCAGCTCCCTTGGCTGGTGGGTTCCAGTTGTTCCCTGTGGGACCCCTTTGGGCCAGACGTATGACCACCCTGACGACTGGTCTGGACCACACCGCGGACGTGTGCCCACGCCGCACACACACTCATGCACAGCCTGCATGCTCCCCCGACTCCAAGACTGGCTCCTGTCCCGGATCTACAGCTCAGGCAGGAGGGGAGAAGCCAGGACAGGAGGACTGCGGCTTCCCCGCCTGGTCTGTCCCTACCTCTCCTCCCCTGCCCAGCGCTCCCACCCTGGCTCAGCCACTCACTTGCTCATTCATTCTCGCCCACGCAATCTGCCTGCTGGTCAGGCCCTGGTTCGTCTTTGGCAGGAGGGAAAGCCTGGTTTGAGAGGGGCCTAGTCTGGTGGGGAAAGGATTTCTTTCTTCTTTCTTCTTCTTAGCCCCCAGGTCTCCTGAGTCTCCCTGCCCCCCATGTCCATGCTCAGAGTTGACCTGGGAGGCAGGCAGGGTGGCTCCGCCCCTCCTCTTCCTGGCCTCGCCTGGCACAGTCATGCTGCCATCTTGCACCTCATCAGCAGTGGGCACCTTACTGCCCAACCATCTCTTGACCCAAGACCGGTACCGGGGTAGTGGGCTGTGAACAGACTTTCTTGGGTGCTGAATGCGAGGAAAGAGGAGTTGCTGGGTGGCTTTTGAAAGTGGCCGGTTCCTATCCCCTTTCAGTCCCTCAGTGGCCTCTGAGATGTGGTCACACACACCCCTGGTTGGACTCTGAGAGCTGTGGTGACCTGTGACCTTTCCTCCTCCAAGGGACACCTGGCTTGGACTGAGGGAGCCTCGGGAGCTCAGGACTGCAACACAGTCATTTGAAACAGCAAGGTATGTTCGACTGTCCCACTTGTCCCGGCTGGCGTGAGACCTTTATCTCCAGCCTGCGCCCGCTCCCAGCCCCCCACCGCCACACACATGCAGCACAGCTGGCTTTGGTTAGGAATGGGTCATGGCCTTTACCCCTGGGCTGGCCATTACCAGCCATCCAGGAACTAACCACTGATCCCCACTCGCTGCAGGCTACCCCGAAAGCACTGAGGCTGCTCAGTAGCAGCAGCCGCAGGGTGGGGTGGGGGAGTCTGTGTGCCCTCCTTCAGAGCAGGCACCTGGGCCCAGGTGTGAGGGGCCTTCAGGTTGCACCAGCCACATCTGGAAGGGTGCGGCCAGACACCAGACCCTCCCAGCAGACGGGGGCGTGAGAGGAGGGGAGTGTGGGTACAGGCAGTGGGCCTGATGATGGTCCCTGATCTCCAAGAGACACTGGCTGCCCTGGTGGGCCCACTCCTGGGACGAGTAAGAGCTCTCCAGACCTGGACGGAAAACATGGTTACTCTGTGGGCTCTCTTCTTCCTTGCCCCTTCTTCGGTCTCACCCTAACTGGGGAGTACAGGTCATTGTGCCAAGAGAGGGTGAGGACGGGAAAGCAGAGAATAGACCCTGGGGCTTCTATATGGAAGCTTTGGACTCCAAGAAAGCGCACTCCATCCCTGGCTTTCCCACAAGCAAGCGGAGGAGCTTGTGAGAGATCTCTGAGGCCCCGTTTGATTCCAGAGGCCCTTGCCCTCATGCACAGCCATCCCGGCACTAGGGGGCGCTGACAGCAGGACCAGGAGGGCAGGAGAGAGCACCGGCTGTCAGTAGCAAGAAAAGCAGGGGCTTCCTTAGGGTCTGGACACCAGGCCCCAGGAAGAAAGCCCCAGATGAAGGAGCAGGAAAGGCCACAAGGACAGGGAAGGTGGGCCCCTTTCCAGAGCTGGGGGACAGGCCCCACGCTCTCGATGCGAAGTGCTGACACCTCTGCACTGCCAAGGAAGCCGAGGAGCCGGAGCCCGGGCCCAAGCGCGGCCCCCCCATGGCCCCTTGGCACAGGCCCACAGCGCCCCCACCTGCAGCCTCGGGGACCCCACCCCGCGAGTCCCAGCAGACGCACCTCGTCCCCGCCGTGTGACAGTGCAGGGGCAGTGCTCCTGGAGCCCAGGTGTAGCCTGAGCTGCCTGTCTCAGGTGGTCTCTTCACCAGTTAGGCCTGGTCACGATGGGAGTGGGCAGGCTTCTCCCTCGCCCCATGTCCCAGGGAGACCAGCCTCGCCCCTCCTCTCCATCTCCACTGCCAGTGCCTGGTGAGGCCTACACTTCCCACCTGGATACCTTCCCCTTTGACCTCCTGACCTCTAGACCCCCCTCTCCAACCCGCCAGCACACCAAAGCCAGAGTCTGTCTACAGCACAAACCTCATCTTGCTCTTCCTCTGCTTAGAAACCTTCGACTCCTAGCGGTGCCCAGGATAAGGCCTACAGTCCGCAGCACTATAGATGGCCTTCCATGGCCTGCCCCAGACCTCACCTCACTAATGGTACTAAATTGAGGAAATGAAGGAATGAACTTGAGAAGTTCTTGGAGCTCTCCAGGCTCCCTCAGCCCCCAGACCACCCGCTCATCCTCCAAAGCTGAGCAGTGTCCACTGCCCTGTGAGCCCGTCCTGCTGCCCTGGCACAGCTGGCCAGGCCGCGCTGCACCGTGAACATCTGCTCGGGGGTGTCCCCATCCAGGTGGCGAGCCCCCGGGGCCTGTGCTGTGCTTTCTCTCTGTATCCCCTGTGCCAACCACCGGGCCTAGAAAATAGCTGTTGTGCAGCAGGCATTTCTGGGGTGAACGAGTGAACGAGTGAATGAGTGAATGAGTGATGTGGAAAGGGGAGAGGGTTGTTTCAGCGTCAGCTATTGGTGAAAGAACCAGGGTCTGGTGGGTTTGGCCGGTCCCGGCCTCTTTCCTACGTGCCGCCTTTAACCCCCAACACAGAGCAGTGAGCGCGTGTGGGAGTGGAGGAGGGGTGCACACACGCCCTCCCCCCGCCCCCTCGAGTCATCCCGGCCGCCCAGCCCTAGCAGCAAGCGGCAAATGGAAACGCGTGGCCTTACCTTCCTCCATCCCGAACACATGCTTTGTTACTGTTGGGTTGCTCACGGACGCTGGGCTGTTGGCATTGTTTTTTTTTTCCTTTTTTTTTCCCTTGTGAAAAGAAAAGCATTGAGGAATCTTTTGGGGGAAAGATATGGACAACGATTAAGAAGTACACGGGTCTCTGCAAGCAGGAGAGAGGGTGTTCGGAGGTGCGGCCGGAGGTGTGGGTGTCACGCTGGGAGGAGGGTAAGCTGCGCGGAATCCTGCAGCCGAGGACGGTGACATGCATGTGTCAGGGGCTGGGGACCAGTCAGACGGGGTCTCAGGGATGGAACTGCTGTGACAGAGCCAAGACTCCCTTCAGCCTGGGAGTGGGGGAGAGGAGCCGCACACGGAGCACGAGCGGCCGCTGTGGGGAGGGGACGGGCCCTGGCCCATGCAGTGCCGGACAGACGGCGCCCCATGCAGGTGGGCTGCCAGGAGAGG